CTGCGAAAATTCGGACGGAGGAGAGACAGAGAGAGTGCGGGCACGGGAATACGCAGCCATCCCTGTGCCCAGCGCTGTATAAAAGAGTGGAGTAACATCAGAGTTAAGAAACTAAGCCACATCTCCCCAGCAGTGGCAACCTGGATAGCTTCTCAGTTTTTTTCCTGTTTTGCCATAATAGAGCACGATTAGAAACCACCTTTACAGGAACGGCTAATGTAATCCATTACTGGGACTCCACCGCTTTGCTCTTTGTATCCCACGACGTTCTGCGCTTGCTATTTCATAGAGTTTACCTCCGTTCATCTCTCTTTCCATTATTCGGAGTTCACACCTGGTTAGTGGAGAAAGAACTGCTCGTACTAAAAGAACATAATTCTTGAACTCGCCTCGTAGTCCCTGAATTGCGGGCCAAACTTTTTCCTCAAGACTTTTGTTTCCTCTATGAAAGTCTTGCCAAAAAATTTCTGACCAAGAATCACATCAGCAACGTTTTTCAATCTATCGATGATGTTCATACGATCACCTGCTGTAGCCATTGCTCCTGAAAAAAACTGACTGCGGCTATCAAAAACTCATGAATCGTGTTTTGGGGAACTCAGAATTCCACGAAAAATGCTCAAGGGCTTGTGGAAAGAGGTTCTTCAACTTCAAGCTTTACCCGGAACATAGCTCGGAGTTATTGGTTCTCCAATATTCTTCGATATGATGTCCATATGCACGCCAGAAAATGTCGCAATTGATGATGGGATCTTTAAGACCTCGAATATTCCTAAAAGTTGAAAGAGACTACTCATACGGATCATTTTTTCATGTGTTGACACACACGCAATAAACCCGATAAACCCTCTAAAAAAGTTAGAAAATGTTGTGTCACCTTTTGGCAACCAACTCAGATCAGTGCTCACCTAGACCACATATGGTGAACGCTTCAGCGATACCAACATCGAATTTCTCGTCAGCCAGGCGCTTCATCAGGTCATCGTCAGATATTAAATCTTAATATATATTCTTTGTGATGATCACCGATGTATGTTTCAATTTTGAAAGCACTGGTAAAGCCACGCTTTTGACACTCTTGAAGGGCATAAGAGACCACCTTGCGCAATACTAGGAGTACTATCATCTGCATAGAATGGTACCTCAAAGTAACTTATACACCTCGGACCGCCTCCTTTTTTCAGTTTGGGGCGGAATCCTCGCCTCCCTTCAGGTCTGGGCGGAATCATCCACTGCAATATTTCTAGTTTCTGAGGGGCCACTCCCAAAGCTTATTAGCGTTCAAAGCTGTTTTCGGTGTTTAAAAATTGCATCGTCCTGTTCCAAATGATCAGTGGGCGTGAAGGTTCCAATGTTGGGTTCCCAGAACCACCGTTGCGATGCAAAAATGGTTTTCCAAATAATCTCGCTTACCTTCGCAGAGATAGGTGAACGATGTTGTCATGTTATGTGCCATCTGAAGTAAAATATGTGTAAGTACATGTACGCTGAGGAATTCTCGAAAAGTTTTTGATAGACATGTTATACGAATGAGAGTTTATGATGCTTAATCAGAGGGAATTTTAGCAGTTCAGAATTCCCAGGTGCGCCCCTTTCCCATCTGAAGGTTCTCCTTACAAGGAAAGGATGGTTGGTCGAAGTGGCCATTTCAGACAAGATGCATACACACTGATGCGTCTTCGGACGCTGATTTCAAATCTGCTTTCCATATCTGCTAAACGATTCTCTGAGCAGAGATATGCAGGAGGTTGTTGTACGGAGCACAATTGAGCTTGGTAACACAAATGAGACGTGAGTCGTCACACGAAGTGCATCGGTGGCCTAGTGGGTAGTGTGCCGCGCTCAAGTATGCGAGGTGAGAGGTTCGAATCCCTCCATGAATCGCCATTTTGCATTTTCTCAAAAATGCCTCCTGCACATCCGGAAAGCACTTCTGCGAGGCTAGGAGACCTGATTCTACCAAAAATTTTATTTCTGATGTGATAGAGCCATTCTGGAACGGCCTAGTTATTCGTTTGGTTTCAGGGCATTATTTCGTTCTCGTCGTGTTGAGTTGAGGGCCAACTGAATTCAGATGACTATAGAAGTCAAAAGTGGATGTTGTTAGTTATATCAGGGACGTCAGTAACCAACAAGGACTAAGATTTAGCGAGGAACCTCCACTGCTCACAGAGATTTGAATCGGCGATAGTGCCAGCAACCTTTAGGAATTGGCTGCCTATGGTTACCCCACTGTATCGAAAATAGGTCGAAATCTCAAATTTGGTTGAAAACTTGTCTCTAGGGCTAATTTGAGCCCCAGAGCACGAATATCACACTCGTTCGGCGTAAAAACGCTTGCCAAGGACGTTGCAGGTTCCTGCACACCCTGCCCCTCCAGAATGCGTACAAGACGTTTTCACGAAATATAACTGCAGTGTTGATTTCCAGGGCACTGAAGCACCTCTAGTTTCAGATTCCAGCCAATTTGGGCAATTTGGAGCACCTCATATACATGCTGGAAATGGGTGTGACCTGGTCAAAAATCCTGCATAACTTTGTCCAGGAAATCGTTTAGCAGATATGGAGGGCAGATTTGTAATCAGCGTCCAAGGGCCCATCGGGCAGTATACGTCTCATTTCGAATGGCCACTTCGACCAACCATCCTTTCCTTGTTAGCTTTGGGTCAGCGTCACAATACCCTGGACAATTTTCATGGACGATAAATCGAGCAGGTGTTCAGGGATAGAAACTGGGTGCTCTATTCTGGGGTGGGAGGCATATGGGACTCCACACACAAAAGGGCGCAGTTTGTCGACGGGGGGGCATTTTGCTTTCCATAGATGTGTCGACCCATCTAGGTAGCCGTTTCTCGAGTTGACACGTTTTAGGATAGTGGCTAGACGATCTTACTTCAGCTTCACAAGAGTTCACAAGTTTTACCAGAGTGAGATTTGTAAACCGGAACTAGGGAAGCAATGATAATACAAAATGCCCCCGTCGACAAACAGCGCCCAAAACTGGGAATCCCAGATGACGACAAATTATGCCTGAGCCTAAAGAGTATAGGAACTATTGTTAGTTGACGTCGACGTCAGATAGACTTCCGCCGGGTGTCCTATTTGTTTCCCTCTGAAAACTGGCCCAAAAAATGCTGGTAGTCCAGAAAGCAAGCCCACCAAAAGTAACGGAGTCCATCTATTACCCATTAGTCGGTATTGATTTTCCATTTCGCGAATTGTTTAGTAATTACAGTAATGGCCCGAAAGGAGAAAAACATCGGCAAATTGTTTGCAATGAGAGAAATTCAGCCTAATAGTTTGATTTCATACCTGTAAGAGCCCGAAAACCGTTGGTTGCATCGTCCACATGTGGCTCAGCATGACTGATTTATATTTCATCATCTCATCAACTCGTGGATCGATGGGTGTTTTGATGATTTTCTTTGTTAGCTTCACTCCAGTCTTGTTCCCCTCCTCCGAATCATACCGCAGGTGATCAGGAGTGTCTATATATGGATATTATGATCTCACCTTATCGTTACTGGAGCCAAGCTGACTGGGACCTTAGGGGAATGATAATAGGTTGGAAAAACTTCTGCAACACTTTGGCCAAAATTGCTGACTAAACTTTCCTTCACTCAAGGGACTTCCAATTTCAAGGTAATCACCATCAACAACTAGGACAAGTACTAACCTTCCATACAGCTTTTCGACTCCATTTTTGCACAGCTGCGGCAACCTTTATCGAAAGAAGAGGAAGACCTTGCTTTCGAGCAGACGTCGATTTCCAAACCTTTGATTTCTTAAAGGGTGCAGGAGGGACCAAAGTAGGTGGTAGTTAGAAGCTGCCAAGCTTGTTGAATCTGGGTACGATATCAATCCCTGGTCGAGACCTATGATCTTTTGGCGTAGCCTCATCACTACGTGCGGTCTTCTCATTGTCGAGAAGAGGAAAGAAAATGAGTGTTTCCGTACGAAATCAAGCGTGACGTCATATGTCTCGAAATTGATTGGAGTAAGCTATGACCGTCACTGTTGTGCCAGAATCCAGCGACAAACTTTTGAAGTCTCACCAGTGACACCGTGACATCATTTTTCAATGCACATCTGGTCTTGGCTAAACTTAACTTCTGTCCTTGAGAGATCCTGTGAATGATATGTGCATTGTGCACGCAAGAAACTCCTCTCTTGTTTCTAATCACAATATCTTACGAAAAGCTCTTCCAATATGTACAAGGAAGAGAAAACCCAGTCACCACCATACGTTGC